TCTTGGTCCAATGGAGTTTGCCTGTTCCTTGTCTCAGAAAGTTATTGGGGTCACAGGAAGATGGATATTGGGGTAGGGCTTGGGTCTTATAGATTACAGGGTCCAATGGGGTGGGGAGCCTGGCCTCAGGGAGTTTTCCCTGCTGGCCAGCAACTGGGGCAGAGTTGGGTGGGGATTCCCCGGTATAGGAAAAAGGGGCTGGCTAAAGAAATCCACCCTGACTCTGGAGCCCAGAACTAGGGAAAGATGACTCAGATCAGGGCAGAAAGAAATACAGTTGGGCTCAGTCATGTCAAAGCCATCTCTGCCCTGGCCAACTGACTTGTGAAACTAAACAATCACAGAGCAGGATAGTAGAACCCTGGGCCTGGGGTTGACTTCACCCCCCAAGACATCCTGTGTAAACTGCCCTGCCTGGTCAGTTAGAAAAAAAGGCTGTTCTCTCCACCCTGGTAGAGGCAGCTACTCTCCTGGATGCCTCCTACCCAAATGAATCTCTTTCTCAAAAGAGTTTTGGGTGTGAAGGTCTTCATTAACTGGCATAGGGAAGATCCTTGCTGAGACGTCTCCCAGTGGACAAAACAAGGCAGAGCTGAAAGAGCAGAGCAAGGAGGAGCTGAACAGAAGATCTTTGCTGAGACATCCCTCAGTGGATAAGTAACACTTTTCTCCAGAGCTGGAGTAGATGGCTGCATTTCTGCAGGGGTTTCCTCTTTCCCAGAGTGAAGCAAAAGAAGCAACATCTTAGGCCAGAGAAGCAGAGCTCTGCTAGGAAACCCCCTTAAGTGGGGGCTCAGCAAAGCTCAGCTGTAGGGGCTCTCCAGGAGAGGAGCAGGATTGCTATATCCTGCGAGGAGGCCATCCCCCATCACACCAGGTATACCTTGACTTTCCCAGAGTCAGGATACCCTTCCCTTCTGAAGCAGTTCCAGGCCTGACTCTCCCGAGAAGTCAGAAAAAGTTGCCTTCCAGGGTTGGGCTGCTTCTTTGCAGTTCCAGCCATCATAGCTCTGCTAAACAGCTCCGAGTGTCTGATACACCTTCAGGGCAGAGTTGTTGTTCTGAGCAGCTTGAGGTGTCCGGGATACCTCGCCCTCCAGGGCTGAAGTGTCTCCTTGCAGTTCAGCCATCAGAGCTGTCCTAAGCAGCTCAAGGTATTGCCTGACTCCCAGGTAGTCAGGACACCAAACCCACAGAGTTGCAAAACTCCGGGACCAAACCCAGAGTTGTTGCAACCAATATGCTTACATTTTTGGTGCTGGAACCCGGGACACCAAACCCACAGGGTTGCAAAACTCACCTTTTGCAACCAATTTACTTACACTGGGGACTCAGGAACCAGTTTTTTAGACCATAGTTATATTTATCTCCCAATACAGTATTTTAGAGACAGCAAAGGGCTTTCACCTAAAAAACAAAGTAACACTAACTCTGAAACAACTTCACCCTGTCTTTGGTACATGGGGGCTTAGTTTTGCTCACTATCAGCTTAACCAAAATTCTGTGATACCAACTGATTCTCAGTGAGGAATACCTCATCTATTCAGAGTCCTCAAGGACAAAAAGAAATTGAGAAAGAAGATGACAGCCAGTACATGAGAACCCCAGTGGTAGAGCACTTGCCTAGTATGTACAAGAACCTAGCTTCCATCGCCAGCAGAGCCGACACAAAACATCGTTTGTAGTGGAATTGATCTTCCTGCTTCCTACACGAACACCCTGCCAACTATTTAAAGTATTGTGGATAAACCAATAGATAATTTGTCTTCTGCTCATTTCCCCAACAAGTCCTTTTCCCCTGACCTCTGCTGTTACCATATAGTTGGATCCCAGTGGTGTGTTCTGAATACATCTTCCTATCTCTCTCTCCTCCTCTCCCTTCCATTTATCCTCCTCTTGTATAATTTCACCAATTCTCTCTGGTTTAGTGACTTAGCTTGTCAAGGTGCTTTAATCCCCCAAATTTGAGAAAGCAAATCAAAATGGGCATTTTCTTTATATATGTAAAAATGGCATAAAAACTTAAATGGATATGCTGAGTTGAATTGTGTCCCTAAAAAATGTTAACCTCAACTCTCAGTGCCTGTGACAAGGATGGGCCTGATGCACGGGGACCACTGTCTTAATTCCGTGAGAAGAAAGGCAGGGAGGGCATTGTGGGAAAGAGAGGCTGGGACTGGAGTGTTGGAATTGCAAGCCAAGAACACCAAGTGTTTTAGGAAAGGATTCCACAGTCACAGAACAAGGCCCTGCTCACACTGGTCTCCAGTTTTGTCCCTCAGAACTGTGACAGCACATCTCTTGCCACCAAGTTTCCTACATCAGCTGTAGAAAATGAACTTGTTTCAATATTTTGTGCAATCTATAATTATAGAATAAAAGTAATTTATACAAGTAAAAACAAGGTTTCTTTAAGACCAAAATGTAGTGCCCAGATATCCTTGGGTGTGTGTTCTTCAACTGGAGAGATGTCAACTTCCCAGACCTACACTCTTAAAAGGAAATTGCCCATTCCTTTCCCAGCAGATAACACTTGTCAATAGCTCCTGGGCATAGAGGGGGATTGTGTGACCAGCTCCCACTTCCATGCTGGGATTTGGTCTGCCTTGGGCTTGCACAGGTTTGTTTTCTTTTTCATGGTGTTGCAGTTTGTGTGAGTCCATATGTGCATCTGCCCTACTGTGTCCAGATGTTCCTTGTATTCCTCCACCACCTCAGATTATTATACTCTTTCTTTGTCCTCTTCCTCAATGATCTCTTGTGAGGGTAGGATGAGGTACATGGTTTCCCCTAAGGGCTGAGCATTCTTCTGTCTCTTATTCTCTGCACCTTGGCCAGTTGTGGGCTACTATGTTAACCACCGTTGACTGCAAATCAAAGCTCCTTAGGTGAGGAATAAGAGATACATTGATCTACGGCTGTAATGATGAGTCAGTTTAATACTATGTCCATTTAGCGGCATACCAGTAGTAAGTTCTCCCCTAGGGCCTATGACTGCTAGCTGTATGTTCTTGGTCTGATAACGGTGCTAGTATGGGTTTCATCTTGTGGAGAGGAATTCAAATCCAATCAAAAAGTGGTTGGTTACACCAATACTATTTGAGCTACTATTACACCAACGGCCATGTGTTATGCTGATCGTTGTTGTAGCTCAAAGGTTTCATAGATAGTTATGACTGATGATTACTTTTCTCCTTTGGTAGCCTACATAGCATCTTCCAGCACATGAAAAGTAACCAGCAGGGATGAAACATTTAGGTCATTACCAACTTGATTCTGCCATGTTCTATGACTCAAGTATGGGTATCTTCAACAATGGGGTCAATGAAAATAAAAGGCCATAATGTTATGATATTTTGGGTCATATCTGGTATCTGTACTCTGAAGTATATGAATACATGACTGGTACCTCAATTCTGTTCCATTGATTATTGTTTTTGTTTTATACTAAAACCACACAGCTTTCATGTCTATGGATTTTTCAGTTCAGAGATCTGGAAGAGCAAGTTTTCATATTTATCTTTTTCCCTGCCCTGTTTCCCCATCCTCTTTCTTGTTCTTCAGGCATTTCTTACCTATTCTTGAAACTTCACTGTAACCTGTGAAGTTCAGTTTCAATTTGTCAAATTTCTTAAAAGTCTCTGTTCAGATTTTTATTAGAATCATTAAATCTGTATATGAGATTTGTTAGAATTGATATATTGATACAAGAATTCTGTCCATAGATATTTATCTCTGTTTATGTGTGTCTTGTTGATTATCTTCAAATAAAAGTTTATAATGGACTATAAAAATGCTCTCCCACATTATTAATTTTATTTTAAGGCACTTTAATTTTATCACTACTGAAATTTATTAGAATATTATGATTTTTGCTATTCTATAAATTAATTTTAAAAATTAATTTTACATTTGTTCAATATGTAAATATATGTTTGTATTCTTGGCATTATATATTTTAAATATTTATATCTTATTTAATTTTTAAATTTTCAGAAATGAAGATACAATTACATCTTTTCCTGTCATGTTTCCTTCCCTTCCATATCATCTCTTTCTGGATGCCTCTCAAATTTATGATCTCTTTTCCTTAATTATTGCATGCACACTCACACACACACACATACACACACACACACAAACACACACACACACATATATAAATACAGTCTTCCCAGTGTATTTAGTGTTGCTTATACATGTAAATGGTTTCAGAGCTGACCACTTGATATTGGTAACCAGTTAAAAGGATCATCCCTGGGGAAGACAAATTCTTTAGCAGTCTGTAGTTCTTTGTTTAGTGGTGGAACCCTATGAGATTTCCCCCCTTTCAAGTTAGCGTTTTGATTGGTATTGTCCTTGTTCAGGTCTTGTTTAGGCAGTCATATTGTTGAAATATCATGGGTGAAGCTTCCCTTTCATTTCTGGTTCCTACAATCTTTCCTCCTCCTCTTAATGATGCTCCCTGAGCCTTAGGTGCAGGAGTTGTGGTGTGTGAGTGTGTGTGTGTGTGTGTGTGTGTGTGTGTGTGTGTGTGTGTGTGTGTGTATGCTGGGGCTAGACACCCCACAATCACTTGTTCTCTGAATTTGAGTGGTTGTGGTTTTCTGCAATGGTCTCTCTCTGTTGCAAAGAGAAGCTTTTTTTGGTGAGGGGTGAGAGCTACACTTATTTGTCGTAAGTGGAATTCACTTAGGAATTGTACTGATTTAGTCAAGTGGTAGTACTGCATTCTCGTCTAGGACGCATGACCTCACTAGCTCCAGCTAATTTCCTAGCTTTCAAGGACCGGGCATGATTTCCCTGCTGTTGAGTGGGCCTAAGTCTAATTAGAGAGCTGTTGGTGGGGTTTCAGCAGGAGCGGTGGAACGTACGTATTGGAGAGTTCTGATGACGAATTTTTAGACAATAACAGATTCTTGAGCTGAGCCATGAGTATGGTTGGAAATTGAAAGTGAACAGGAAGGGAAATACACATTTCTGTTCGAAGTACAGTGGCTTCCACAAGAGATGAAATGTGGTCTGAGGGATGGTATGACTACAGGCGACTTCCAGGAAAACAAGCGCCTCCTTGGAGCCATCCCAGTGATGGCAACCATCGATTAATTAACGTGCCAAAGAGACCGCCTCTGGGAGACAAGAGACCATCTCTGCTAGCCAGACCCGATGAAGGAGGCTACAGTAGATACTACTGTCAGGTCGATTACCAAGAATGGGATGAAGGCCGCTGTTTTTCTCAGAATCCAAGAAGTGGCCCACCCTACAAAAGAGGCCCTTATGGCTCCCGATGGTCAAGAGATGAGTATGCCACAAGCCGACAGCCTCAATACAGGGCCATGAGAAACGGCTTTAGAAGAAGAGGTTTCTATTCTTCCCATTATTCAAGACAACGATCTCCCCATGAACAGGGCGCTTCTTTTTTGAGAGAATCACGTGTGGGCAGGAAGGACTCCCTACCCAGCAGATTTGGCTCCAGTCTCAGCAGGAGAAGCAGGATGCGCTCCTTCCATCAGTCTCGGCTTAGATGTAGAGAGAGAGCCATCCAGTTTTTGAAAACATCAAGAGATACTGTGCCCTCAAGTTCTTCATCCAAGGTGTTAAAAAGCCCCTGCCGACTGAGTGAGAAAGAAGAGGCTGATGCTGCAAGCAAGTGGGCTAATGAAAATCCCAAGAAGTCAGAAGAAAATAACTTGGCTGAAATTTCCGAGTTTGAGACGGGATCCAAGGCACCATTATGTATCAACCAGACAGAAGAACCCGAGTCAAACACAACAGCTGGCCCGAAGGGATCCAAGGCACCATTATGTATCAACCAGACAGAAGAACCCGAGTCAAACACAACAGCTGGCCCAAAGGGATCCAAGGCACCGTTATGTATCAACCAGACAGAAGAACCCGAGTCAAACACAACAGCTGGCCCAGAATTGTGTGAAGACAGCCAGTTTAGCAGTCGTTCAAAAGCGATTGCATCAAAAATCACGGAGATTGAGAAGGTTTACCGACAAGTCTGTGAAACTTTCGGGATGGTGGTGGAAAGGCTGGTTGACAAGGATCGTTCGTTAGAAAAATCTATACAGTTTGCAATGAAGCAGAGTTTGCATGAAATAGGTGAGCAACATGTTGAAGAACTCAAGCATTTCATTATGGAGTATGATAATTCTACTCCAGATTTTGGAGGCCCTTTTTAGAAGAATTAGGGCTCAGTTCAAACAAATTTTTAAAGCTTCTAGATTTTTCCCTTTGGACTTTTTAAATCCTTACTATTTTGTGATGAAGAGAAATACTTTATGATAACTGACCACATTGCTAGTATCAAATAAACATCTACAGTAGCTTTTAAAGTCTCTTAATTAGAATGTTTTCCCTATGTGTAGAATCGGCTAATCTATCTTCATACATTTCCTCCCTCCCAAACATAATGCTCAATTAATTTTTTAATGTTTGAAAAGGCAGTTCTGGAGAGCAGCTCTCTGTATTTACTCATAATCAATAGTCTTCCATGGTGTGCTGGTCTCCGGGGTATAATTTGTAGTTAGAGATCATTCCAGGTTGCATCATAGGCATTGCTAGCATTTCGAGTTGAGTTTGACTTGCTGCCTGCTTTTCTTCTGCGTTGCAACTTTCGGGGATGTCAAAATATGCTGTCTTAAGGAAGTAGAACTTAGCTGTCTTGCAATCTTTGCTGAGAATAATTCTTCTTTAGTGTAGGAAAGAAGCACTTAAAAAAATCTCTAAAGGACACATTAAAACAAAACCTTATTTTCAAGTCATTGAACTTAGTGTGTCTCTTCTATGAAGTGAGGCTCCTAACTGCTCTCTCTGAACAACACTGTAGATAAGACAGATAGGAGGGGTAACCTGAGATGTAAGATGCATTTTAACTTGAAATTTCTCCGAAAAGCCTCTGGTGGCAATAATAAAAGATTGGACTATACAACAACCTGGAGTTTTGCTTTAAGCCATTTCTTTATCAAAGAGGGACCTGACAAGGAGCTCATGCTTGTGATAAAATGACAGACTTCTCTGTTAATTTCCGTGATCTAAGTTCTGTAGACTTAGAGAATCTCCCTCTTCACAAGTGTTATCATAAAAACAAGGCAGAATAAGGCATTGCACCATAGAGAATGGGCTCTAAAAAGGCAGTTCATAAGCTAGGAAACAAGGAGGACACTAAGAGGGATGCATGAATCACTCTGGGAAGGAGAAACAGAGGATATCTACATGAGTAAATTGGGGATGAGGGGGCCAATCAGGGGAAGGGGATGTGGAATGAGAACATGGTCAAGCTGGGGGCGGGGACAGAGTGAGAGACCAATGAAAGAGATATCTTGATAGTGGGAGACATTATGGGGCCAGGGAGAAACCTGGTGCTAGGGAAATTCCCAGGAATCCACAAAGTTGACACCAGATTAGACTACTAGCAATAGTGGAGAGGTTGCCTGAACTGGCCTACCCTGGTAACAGATTAGTGAATACCCTCCCTAACTGTCATCATAGAGTCTTCATCCAGTAACTGATGGAAGCAGGTGCAGAGATCCACAATCAATCACCAGGCTGAGCTCTGGGAGACAGTCAAAGAGAGGGAGGAGGGATTATATGAGCAAGTGGGGTCAAGACCATGATGGGGAGATCTACAGAGACAACTGAACCAAATTCATGGAAACTCACTAACTTTAGACTGACAGCTGTGGAGTCTGCATGGGACTGGACTAGGCCCTCTGCATGCGAGAGACAGTTGTGTAGTTTGGTCTGTTTGAGGGGCCCCTGGCAGTAGGATCAGGATCTATCCCTGGCTCATGAGCTGGCTTTCTGGAGCCCATTACCTATGGTGAGACACCTTGCTCAGTCTTGATGCATGGGGGTGAAACTTGGTCCTGCCTCAAGTGAATATACCAGGCTTTGCTGTTCCCCCATGGAAGGACTAACCCTTTTGGAGGAGGCATGGGGGAGGGATTGGGGGGGAAAGTGGGGGGGATATGGAAGAGGGATGAGAGGGGGATCTGTGGTTGGTATGTAAAATGAATTAAAAAATTAAAAAAAAAATGCTAGTTTGTGTACCTGGGATAAGTCCTTGTCCCATTTCCATGGGCAAGATGGGGGGATTGGTGGGGAGGGGAGAAGGGGAGGGAAAGGGAACAGAGGTTGGTATGTAAAATGAAAAAAATTGTAAATGAAAAAAATTGAAATAAAAAAACGTGGCAGAAGACAGCAAGACCAGCAGAGCACCCCTCACCTTGTAAGTGAGTCAGTGATCAAGTGAAGAGACAATTAGTGCCGCGGACTGGGTCTCAGTAGGAACACCAGACCGAGGGAGAACGGGTTGAAGGTACTCAGGATAAGTGGGATTCGGCGAATGACAGACAGACACAGACACCAGAGTATGCTGTGAACTGCTGCAATTTTACTCAGATCAAGCAGTGTTTTTTATACATTCATTTGAGGAAACATGGCAATCGGCCAGTGGGGCGATAGACATAGAATTAACAATGTGGTCTCACAATTTTCTCAGAATGATTAATAGATCTCATGAGTACAGGTGTTATTTCCTCTTTTGTGGTCCCTCATCCAGACAGAGAACATTACGGCCCTAGCTGAAGTTTTTCCTTCTACGTAATTATTAGACCTTTGTTTTGTATCAAAATTAAACCCTTCCCACCATCGTTCTAACCACGGTTTCATTTGTGTGAAAATATTTAACCTTTGCTTGCAGGTGAGAAGGCACCAGGGGGGTTGGGACCTAGCTATTCTTTCCATGAACTGTAACTTATGCCATTCTGTTTTCATGCTATTATGATTCACCCATTGGTTCCCATGTTTATCATAAGCTCCCGTAAAGGGCAATGGCTCCAAATAATTATTATATCTAGGATTAAAGTTAGGGGGTTGCCACCACCGACCCTTGATGAGAAACTCTATTTGTCCCTTGATAATTCTTGTAGGACTGGTTAGTTCCTGTAACTGCTTCCTTGCAGCTGCTGTTGGCTGCGCGTGTGGATTGCTTATGAGTTCCTGGACTTTTACTTTCATCTCTCCTCGCTAGACTCTTTGTCCCTCTGAGTCATAAGTTCTTTTTGTTCTAAGTCATTCATAAATTCCCCCAAACTTCTAGGACCCTCTTTAACTGTTTGCCTAAAAGCTTGAATTATAGGTGGGGGTATTGAGGCCACTTTTGAGGAATCATTATTCTCTTTATGGGGCACATCAGAAACATTGAGAGCTAACTCCCTGAAATCAATACACAAGGAAACAGCAATAGTCACAGCTGCAAAGAGAAAAAGGCAGAGTGCCAGCCAGCTTCTGTAAGCAGATTTTGCGTGGTTCCATGTAGCCTGGCACCATGATTCGGGCAGATTGATAAGGGGTCGCCGGGGGCATAGACCCGAGGGCCGCGAGCCCCCCTTTCCCACGTAACCACCTCGTCCAAGGCATTTGTCACGCGGGCGACACCGTCGTGGGCGTGGCAAATTAGGACATTCCACTCACTTCTTGATCCTTCCCAGCATAGCACTGAGCCACAATACACAATTTGTGACAATAGGTACACTAAAATCACAGTTTTAATTACTGCCCAATTTCATTATCTCCTTTTTTTTTTGAACAACGTTTTACAGTCTAGACCTAGCTAGACTGAAAAACATTGTGTAGACCAGACTGGCCTCAAACTCACAGAGATCCCCCTGGCTCTGCCTCCTGCATGCTGGGATTAAAGACATGTGCCCCCATCCTCAGTGAGTGAGGATATATATATACCCAAGAGGTGAGTGCAGCTGTTGCGTACTTCTAGGCTAGTAATGGTACTTACTCCTAAGCTTGATGACCTCAATCCAGTTCCAGGAACCAACATGATAGAAGGAGAGATAGTCTTTCTTAAAGTCATCCTCTCACCTCCACAAGTATGTCATAGCACATGCATAGCCTGGCTATGTCTACTGTGTTTGAGGAACCTATGGACATTGATCAGTTGGACACCAGAATAAGTGCAACATCTTCAGGACACTGTGCTGGGGATGCTAGTGAAAAGTTCAAAGACGACACAGTGCCTGGGCCATCTTCTGCAGACTCTCCCACTGACCAACGTGGACCGGGAATCTCCCCACATATTCAAGGATCCCTGCAAACTTCCCCACCTACCCATGGAGCTCTGGCATCTTCCCCTTCTTCCCAAGATGCTCAGGAACTATCCCTATCCATCCCAGAGCTTCTGGGAAGACCCCAATGTGACCAAGGGGCCATGGGCCATTCCACATCTGTGCAGGAATTCCAGAGACCTCCCACTTGTGCTCAAAGGAAAGTCAAACATATCTCCTCTTCCAGAAGGGGTTTCAGAGGTCCATCCTCTAACCATGGGGTCACCAATCGTTCCAGTTCTTTCCCAAAGAGTTTTAGATAAGGCCCTTCCGATCAAGGGGGCCTCCAACAGGCCCCATCAGACAGAGGCTTCCAAACCTTCTCCAAAAGGGGGACTCAGTGATTTCTCACTTTCCCAAAATGGATTGAGTCCCACCACCTCTCCACAGGGGACTTTCACACCTTTGACACCTGCCAAAGGTAGCTGGAGAGCTACTCCCTCTAATGAAGACAGTCAAGGACGTTTCCACTCTTCCCGAAAGGACCCTAAGCAAACCAATTCTGCTGAAGTGAGTTTGAGTCCTGCCTCCTCTGACCAAGGGAATTTCATAACTTTACCATTAAAGCAAGAGGGCATTAAATGTCCTCCACCACTAAAAAATGGGCTCAGCTCTTCCCTTACAGCCAAAAGGCTTATGCCAACCACAAATCCCCAAGTGTGCTTCACACCACCCATCTCTGCCCAAGCAGAAACAAAACAATCCACATCTATACCAGGGGCTCAAGGACCTTTGCCATCTTCAGAAGGGGTCCTGGAGGGTTCCATATATATGCATGAGGTGTTAGGAACTCCCAAGTCTGCCCAAGGGACTCTTGGGCCTTCTCAAGACACGCAAAGGGCTCTAGCGCCTTCACCGTCTTCCTCAGGGGTTCTGAGTCCTCCCATATCTGTCAAGGGGACTCTAGGATTGTCCACATCTACAGTAGAGGGATAAAGACCTATTCTCTCTTACAAAAGGAGATTCAAACCTTCTGTTATGAAACAGGACCCTACACATTGCCACTGTAGCCAAAGGAGATGGAGAGATGCTCCCTTTAAACAAGAGGATTTCCCAGTGTCCCTATCAGACCAAGAGGGCTTCAAATATCCCCTGCTGGCCAAAAAGGCCATCCTGTCTCATCATCGGGCCCAAAATAACCAAATATATTCCAAGATATTTCAAGTGAGCCACA